AGCGCGTTCTCTCCGTCCATGCAATAGATGCACACCCAGACACCCTTGAATGAGCGCGGATTTCTAGTTCATTTACTTGAAGTTCTGAGGTAATATTTGGTTTGACCCATCTGAGAGGCGGCCAAAATCGGATTGTAAAATGGACTGAATTAAAGCTATTTACGAACTTGGCGTGAGATGCCGACTGACATGTGTGCTTGCCTTGAATCACTGTCGCATGCACAAGCTTAGAGCAATATTGTAAGTAACTTATACATTTTAACTAGCAGAATAATAATGCATCACAATGCACATAGGTGACTGCTTGTATGTTGTGAGAAATGTGTGATCTGTGTTAATGTACTTGTATATATGCTCTTAACTAATTGCCCCTTGTGAGATTAATAAAGTTGATAAAAAAAAGTAAAGTAGTCTCACTTTTAGTTACGTCTTAACTATTATAATATTTCGAAGGGCAAAACATGAATTTAACCATTGGCTTTACTTTTTCAATCAGCTGTCAATTCAGCGGCAGTAGCATAGCATTAGCACCTCAGCTCCACCCGCGTCCCGCCTCTTTGCCCATTTTAATTTATCCGGTAGTGACGAGAGGTGACGCACTGCCAAGATGGCGACGGTCGGCCCCGCCTACTTTAGGCCTCAAAATCGCTCTTCAGAAACCTATGGGTGACGTCTATGGTTATGTAACGTTGGATAAAATGATGGTCCGGCCACCGCGTATCAGCGCACATAAGGTACACAGTAATTTTGCGAACCTTTTGTAGAGAAATGAAAACAGGTCGCACCACAACCATTATTTGCACTCGCACTAATGCTCCCAAATATATTTTTAGGTCGCACAGGTTAAAATTCAGGAGCATATGCGACCAAAATGGTCGCAATTTCGAGCCTTGAATATGCGCGCTGAGTGAAAGTCGCATATTGCGCATATTCTGTAGACGCTGTTTAGTTTTGGTTACATTGGTTACTGAAAATGTCCTCGTTTTTGTCCACATCGTTAACTTTATTTATAAAGCAACAAATACATATAACTTAAATAAATAAATAAATGGCGGTAATACCGCATATTGCGCTATTGAGCCACTCAACATTACCGCAAGGGAAATTCCATAACCGGAGTGAGAGTGAGAGTCCCTTTTATGACATCACGCCCAGCCTAGTGGAAAGAGGGGACGTGCTTAAAGGGTTAGTTCACCCAAAAATGAAAATTAAGTCATTAATTACTCACCCCCTTGCTGTACCAACCCTGTAAGACCTTCGTTCATCTTCGGAACACAAATGAAGATATTTTTGATTAAATTCGAGAGGTGGATCACTGCTACATAAGTGATCTAAGGGATTTGAAGCCTAAGGGATTGAAACTTGATGGCGCAGAAAGTCATTAAAGAAAATGTTTAAATATTCCATGTGCCTACAGTGGTTCAACTATAAGTTTATCAAGTGACGAGACTACTACTTGTGCGAAAATACAAACAAAAAAACTCTTTTATTCGACTGTTCCTTTTCTTCCTTGTAGGCCTGAGACGAGAGTTCATGAGATTTCCACGACGCATGCGCGAGAACTGAACTGAAGTAGTTGAAGGAGATCGCAATTCTCGCACATGCGTCGTGGAAATCTCTTGAAGTCTCGTTTCAGGCCAACAAGGAAGAAAAGGAATAGTCGAATAAAGGCGTTATTTTTGTTTGTTTTTTTCTCACAAAAAATATTCTCGACACTTGATAAACTTAGACCCCGTTTACACCTGGTATTAAAATGCGATCTGTATCCAGATAAGTTATCCGGATAATAAGTACTGATTCCGTTTACACCTGGCCACATAAATGTGTTTTTGCAAAACGGATATAAATCCGATCTTCACCTCCTGCGTTATATGCAGATTTATTGGATTGCACGCCACCAAAAGCAACAGATCTGAGCGGCATTTTATTGATTATCAGCTAATTTCCAAATCAGAGACATCAATAAGAGAGAGTGGCAACAGGCCTGGTAAGATAATTTCGTTTCTTTACTTGAAGATGTGTTAACTGCGTCTGTGACTTACTTTCACTTTTATTTGCGATGTTTGCACGTTGAATAGACGCTCAGCTGCTCATCTGCGGTGATGCGTGTCGCGTGTCGAGTCTGACTTAGGGTTGCCGCGGTGAGGAAAATTTCCCACCGGTTAATCGACGTGTGACAACACCGGTAATCCCGGTGTCACCGTGGAGGGCAGGGCGGGGGGGTTAAATAGCTTTTAAATGCGTGCGCGTTATACTTTCACTTTCGAAATAAGCGTCAATTGCTTGAATGGACAAAAAAAAAACAACTCGCTGATAATAAAACTTTTATTTATAGACTTTTATTAGCATAACGAACGAATAAAAATAACCCCATGCATAGGCTGAAAAAAGTGAAAATCGGCAAAATGTGGGCCCAAACAAATAAGAACCATAAAACGTTTATTAACGAATAAGAAAATAAAATAGGCCTAAATAAATTACACAAAGTTTAAATGAGATAAAACCAATTAAAAAGAGACAAATATAGCCTAAAATAAAAACTTCAAAACGGACCTTAGCCTACATAAATGACATACTTTCACTTTCGAAATAAGCGTCAATTGCAATTCAGCTGGAATGGACAACAACAAAAAAAAAAAAAAAAAAAAACTCGCTGACAATAAACTTTTATTTAGACAGCACTTTTATTAGAATAATAAACGAATAAAATATAGACAGAACTTTTATTAGCATAACGAACGAATAAAAATAAAGTGAAAATCGGCAAACTGTGGGCCCAAAAAAAAATAATAAAACGTTTATTAACGAATAAGAAAACAAAATAGGCCTAAATAAATTAAACAAAGTTTAAATAAGATAAAACCAAATAAAAAGAGACGAATATAAAATAAAAACTTTAAAAAGGACCTTAGCCTACATAAATGACAGCACTCTAAAAAAAAAGTAAAACACTATAAATTGGCATTTATTAACATTAATATATATTGGCCAAAATATTGCCAAACAGGCGCTTTTGCATTGCGTTTTGACACCAAATCTTCCGCCATTATCTTGCTTTTCTGTAATTTGACTCGTTCTCGTCTCCACACGTGCTAGATGGAATCCTGATGCTTGCTGATCTGTGACGTGACGGCACGCGTTGCGCAGTTCATTTTTAATTATAATGCTCTCTTCAGAACTAAATAATTGAAAATTATTATTTTTAATTAATTCAAATAAATATTTTAGCAAAAACGAATACTTTAAAAAAAAAAAGTCAAGACATCGCGGTGTCACGGTGGGAAAGTGATGTCACCGGTGATGGGGCTTAAAACCGGTAACACCGTCAACACCGTCTATCGCGGCAAGCCTAGTCTGACTAGGCTATAACATGACATAGCCTAGATAACACGCTCTCACTCGTTTATTTTTCAGCATTTTTGGGAGGAGTAAAATATACATATGTGGTTTCAACAACCAGATTGCGTTTACACCTAGTAAAGATCCGGACACAATGCGAGCCAGACTACCTCCAGATGTGGTCAGGCAGATCCGATCACGATCCGATCACAACGCGTTTACACCTTGCATTAACATGCGTTTTTTATTATCCGGATAACTTATCTGGATACAGATCGCATTTTAATACCAGGTGTAAACGGGGTCTTATAGTTGAGCCACTGTAGTCACACTGAACATTTTGTTCAATGACTTTCTGGGCCGTCAAGTTTTAATCCCTTAAGCAACTTATGTAGCAGTGATCCACCTCTCAAATTTAATCAAAAATATCTTCATTTGTGTTCCGAAGGTCTTACGGGGTTGGTACAGCATGGGGGTGAGTACTTATTACTTAATTTTCATTTTAGGGTGAACTAACCCTTTAACACCACTGTAAAACATACCAACTTTTCATACTATATGCAGGATTTTGGTACTAAAAACAATTGCGGGCGGACAATTGTTCTTATCTTTAAGTTTAGTAAACACATTGCATTATCTTCGTGAAACATTTAACCTGCAATTTAAACTTTAACAAAGTGATTCCAATCATATTTTTAAGGAATTCAAAACTTGTATGTCGTATAGTGCGCATCTGAAGTAAATAATCCATTTATCGGCTTTAATATATCGGCCAAAATTTCTTATCCGGCCGACCACGCTAACATTAATATATCGGCCGATACCGATACGGCGGCTGATATATCGTGCATGCATACCTAATGGAAATTTCGATTTATTCTTTAAATAAAGAAATGGCATTAGCCCCTAAACAGAAAACGCTAAAACAACTTCATAATAGACAAAGCAAGACAACAGGAAACAGTGACTGAACATTAGCTATGTTATGAAGAAACCCGGTTACTTTAAGTAATTTAATGTGTACTACAACAATAACCAGCCTTGTAACTGTATAAAGTAGTGTGGCGATACCATGGTATAGGGATGGCATTATCAAATGGTAATATATGATAATTTGACAAACACACAACGTTTCAAATAACATATCAGCCACTCAGTGAAGCAACACTGATACTTTATGATAACTCCTGACACTTCTAATGAGATGTCAAATATTGGTATAAGGAGCCTCAGAGAGGAGTTTCACTGCAAACCGATCACACTGTGACTGATAAATATATTTTACACAACACCACGAATATTATTGTCCTTGCAATTAGAGATGACTTCACTCAAGAGCTTCATTTTGGGTTATTTCTCTAGCATTAGCATTAGCCATATCAAAACAAAGACAAAAAGCATCACTTCAGCGCAAGACAAACAACACAACATTATAACGACTTTAAAGCTCATATCTGGTACGTGCACTCCAAACAATAACACCGTAACGAACACCTGCATTGTTATAATGAGTTTACCTCACTCAGGCTAATGCATTAGCTACACAAACACAGAGTCGCTATCACACTCATAAAAGACTGTTTTCCCCCGTGCACTGCACACACTTACGGGCTAATTTCATGCTAATGTTTCTATGAGGCAATGAGGTGGTAAAATCTCACCGTTGTCAGTCCATCAGGAGTGGTTTTGTTGCAGTAAACAGGTAAATGCTAACAGACGCTAACGGCGCGCTCTCGAGGCGGCTGTGCACGTAGGTTGAGCGCTGTGCGTGCGCGCGCCCGCTCTAGGGTCCAGAAACGCAAAAACGGCTCTGATCTCAGAAACATCGACACAGAAATATCGCTGGCCCAAAACACAGTGACCGAAGGGGCGGGGCTAGGTGACCGGAAAAGAACGCTCGCCGGAAAGACACAGGTTCCGCTTCACGAACTCATTAAAAGATACAACCTTTTTCTCTTTTTTTGGAGTAGTGACCACTTTGCATTGCAGCTTCACAGATAGACTGTCCATGAAATTAACAAACATCACTATTTTCTTGACGGTTATCGATAGTTTTAATCTAATGTTACATGTTCATTTTATTATCTAATTTCATATCTTTTTATTGTTTTTCTTTTAGTTTTCTCAATTCATTCACTTTCATTGTACTGTGTCGTTTTTTTAAATTATGTTTAATTAAAACAAAATATTTATTAGCATAAAAAATACTTTGTGGGGAAAAAAATTAATAATAATTTAATTTTAGTCGAATTTATATCTAAACTAGACTAGTCCTTCGACTGGTTGATGGCCTACATGAGCAACGTGGATTAGTGGGCACAAAACAATGAGTTTGGAAATAATGTAACGAAACTACACATAAATATTTATTCTTCATCATCTCATTGTAAACTACACACGACATTGATGCTACAGTGCAGTTGTTCATTTGGGAGAAAAACACATAAATGATAACTGATTGTCTCTCAGAAAATATGTGCAGCAAACATTCAAGGCATTAATTTCACCGTTTTCACATTTAAGAGACAACTTGTTAAAACTACATCAGCAAACGGACAACCACAATTTAAAAAGAAAAACTGTTGAAGCCATTGTGGCAGGATATATATATATATATATATTAAATAGCATGTGAAAGATTGACACATAACTGTAGGAAAATCTTATTTGCCTCTTAGGTAATTTCCTTTGCTAATAAAATAAGACTATACATTTACCACCAAACCCTCTATAATCAATATATAATACATCATTCATTTACAGTAGCATTTACCCCCTCTGTCATTGCAAGAATGCCAGATTTAATGGGCTTTATGCACAGCTACACTACTTCCTGAACTTAAGCCAGCTCCTTGTTTCCTGTCTGCCATTATTGGCCAAATTGATTAATTCAGGTGTGCCTGACCTCAGTAGTCACGGCAACAATAATCAGACAAACCTGAATTAATGAATTTGGCCAATAATGGTAGACAGGAAGCAAGGAGCTGGCTTAAGTCCAGGAAGTAGTGCAGCTGTGCATAAAGCCCATTTCATCCCCTTTATGTAACATTTACTCACATTTGTGAAGCTAATTCTTCACGAAGACTTCTTAGATCCTGCGAGATATAGAGAAAAAAAATCCCTCCATTTTCCTTTCGCTAACCCTCGAGTCATTCGCATAATAAGGCATAATCCCACACAGTCCTCAAAGAGCTAATATGATAATAACAAAAAAATGACATTTACTGTACAAGTTAAGTTTGGACACACTCAAACAAAAATGTTTCTTAAAATAATTTATGTACGCTAGTTATGATGTAAATTTCTTCCAGGATGATTACACATGATCTCCCACACGGGTTATTCACTGGTCTGGGAAGAAATACGCTTAAATATCTACATTTATTTTTTTTAGGTAGAGCTGCACGATTAATTGTTAAAAGTTAAGCTACACACGATGTACGTCCTACATGGCAACATTCATCAGTGATATTAAACCTTTGACTAGTACGATCCAGAGACAGCGGTTATCGTGTTATATGAAACTCAAACAGTGTTTTCAACCAGTTTCATTATCTCAGTGTTAAAATAATTCAAATTATCACAGCATTACTGGGGTTAAAGTTTATAGCATGCATAAACACCGACGATGTCTACTGACGATAGTGATCAATCACATTACACCGGTAGGTGGCGACAAGAGACTGTTAAAAATCGATTTGTCTTTGAATAATTGATTCAACAGATTTAATAACGCTTATTCATCCAGTAATGAAATCAGTGAAGTCTTGGAGTGAGTCGTTGGGTGGTGCAGATCTATCGGTGGATGAGATTAAGTCCAAAACACCTAATGAATCATTCAGTCAAACTGACTACAAAATATATATAGTATATATATATTTAAATAGCAGTTAACATTTTGTCAGAACCTCTAATAAATTTAGTTCAGAATTGTGAACAAATAATAATATTTAGGCAGAATCGTGCAGCTCTATCTTTCTGGCCACTGCATAATTCCCATGCCTCCCTTTTGTTTTATTTTACAGTTTTGATGACTTTACTATAACTCCACAATGAAGAAAATATCAATAAATAATAAGTGGTTATGTCCAGAAGTCTTACAGGCACTGTGTGTGTGAGGATAAGCGGAGTCAGGATAACATGCCAGCAGTTCTGGAAATATACAGGTAAATGATGAAAAAACACTGCACATTTCTTACTGCCTTTCACAGTTGGTCATCGTGATCGTGTGCGCATGCAAACTCTGTGTGTGTGTGTGGCTCATTTCCATCATCAGCAGTAGTGTTAACTCGCTGTCTTCATAACTCGCTTATTTAATGCACAACCAGTATGACAGTACAATCCTATGTCTATCTACAAGCTCCCGTGTGTGTGTGTGTGTGTGTTTAGGGCATGGACAGCGCGGAGGCATCGCTGCTGCGCGGGTCCTTGACGCCGATGATCAGGTCGTTGGTCCTGCGGGTTCCCTCCACCAGCGAGATGATGTCCACCTTCTGCACCGCGTGGCCCTTCTGGGTCAGAGACGCCACATCCGCTGGCAGGAAGAGCGCTGCACACATCAGAGCAGTTACAGCGCAACGCAACCCGGACATCTCACACACAAACACGAGCGGCGAATCACACTATATATAAAGTATGTACTTGTTGTGTCTCAGTGTTTCAATTGTTAACATTAACAATTTTTTAAAAACGTGAAATTTTTCGTAAATTTTACTAAATTGATACTTTTACTCTGCAAGGACACATTACAATTATTAAATGAATAGTAAAGATATTTATAATGTTACACATAAATAAATGCTGTTCTTTTGAACAAACACAGCACGACTGTTTTCAACACTGATAATGTTTCCTGAGCATCAGATCATCATATTAGAGTGATTTCTGAAGGATCATGTGACACTGAAGACTGGAGTAATGATGCTAAACAATCAGCTTTGATCAAAGGAATAAATTACACTTTACTATATATTCACAAAGAAAACAGCGATTTTAAACTGTAATGATATTTCACTGCATTTGTGGTGAAATATATGCAGCTTTGACTTCTTTCACAAATCTTAGCAGTAGCACTATAATAAGATTACAGTAGTGTAACTCACAGTCCACCAGGAGGGTGTTGTTCTGGATGAGGGGATGGAGTCTCCCGTAGGACACACTGTCACTCATGTTTTTGCGTGATGACAAGACATTGATCAACACCTGCGGAAACACACAGCAGAATGAGTGGCTGGCGAGCGAGGCGAGGTGTGTTATGTGACGCACGCGGGACCGGCCTTACCTGAGCGATGCCGCTGGCGGCACGGTCAGCGTTCGAGGAGCCCAGGGCGATGTAGGTCCCGCACACCCCCACCGACGGCCTCACCACCACCGGCATCAGGAACGAGGAGGGACGCTTGCCCGGCTCAACGGCGTTACGCTGAGGACACACGAGCAGCACGTCACAAACCGGAAACACACTCAAACACTGTTAATCGGTTCACAAAGATCGCTTGCTCTATACGTTAAAACGCTGTTAATCGGTTCACAAAGATCACTTGCTCTATAGGGTAAAACGCTGTTAATCAGCTCACAAAGATCACTTGCTCTATAGGGTAAAACGCTGTTAATCGGCTCACAAAGATCACTTGCTCTATAGGGTAAAACACTGTTAATCAGCTCACAAAGATCACTTGCTCTATAGGGTAAAACGCTGTTAATCGGCTCACAAAGATCACTTGCTCTATAGGGTAAAACACTGTTAATCAGCTCACAAAGATCACTTGCTCTATAGGGTAAAACGCTGTTAATCGGCTCCCAAAGATCGCTTACTCTATAGGGTAAAACGCCGTTAATCGGCTCCCAAAGATCACTTGCTCTATAGATCACTTGCTCTATACGGTAAAACGCTGTTAATCGGCTCACAAAGATCACTTGCTCTATAGGGTAAAACGCTGTTAATCGGCTCCCAAAGATCACTTGCTCTATAGGGTAAAACGCTGTTAATCGGCTCCCAAAGATCGGCTCCCAAAGATCACTTGCTCTATAGGGTAAAACGCCGTTAATCGGCTCCCAAAGATCACTTGCTCTATAGGGTAAAACGCCGTTAATCGGCTCCCAAAGATCACTTGCTCTATAGGGTAAAACGCAGTTAATCGGCTCCCAAAGATCACTTGCTCTATAGGGTTAAACGCTGTTAATCAGCTCACAAAGATCACTTGCTCTATAGGGTAAAACGCTGTTAATCGGCTCCCAAAGATCACTTACTCTATAGGGTAAAACGCTGTTAATCGGCTCCCAAAGATCACTTGCTCTATAGGGTAAAACGCCGTTAATCGGCTCCCAAAGATCACTTGCTCTATAGGGTAAAACGCAGTTAATCGGCTCCCAAAGATCACTTGCTCTATAGGGTTAAACGCTGTTAATCAGCTCACAAAGATCACTTGCTCTATAGGGTAAAACGCTGTTAATCGGCTCCCAAAGATCACTTGCTCTATAGGGTAAAACGCCGTTAATCGGCTCCCAAAGATCACTTGCTCTATAGGGTAAAACGCCGTTAATCGGCTCCCAAAGATCACTTGCTCTATAGGGTAAAACGCAGTTAATCGGCTCCCAAAGATCACTTGCTCTATAGGGTTAAACGCTGTTAATCAGCTCACAAAGATCACTTGCTCTATAGGGTAAAACGCTGTTAATCGGCTCCCAAAGATCACTTGCTCTATAGGGTAAAACGCAGTTAATCGGCTCCCAAAGATCACTTGCTCTATAGGGTTAAACGCTGTTAATCAGCTCACAAAGATCACTTGCTCTATAGGGTAAAACGCCGTTAATCGGCTCCCAAAGATCGCTTGCTCTATAGGGTAAAACGCTGTTAATCGGCTCCCAAAGATCACTTGCTCTATAGGGTAAAACGCCGTTAATCGGCTCCCAAAGATCACTTGCTCTATAGGGTAAAACGCAGTTAATCGGCTCCCAAAGATCACTTGCTCTATAGGGTAAAACGCTGTTAATCGGCTCCCAAAGATCGGCTCCCAAAGATCACTTGCTCTATAGGGTTAAACGCTGTTAATCAGCTCACAAAGATCACTTGCTCTATAGGGTAAAACGCTGTTAATCGGCTCCCAAAGATCACTTACTCTATAGGGTAAAACGCTGTTAATCGGCTCCCAAAGATCACTTGCTCTATAGGGTAAAACGCTGTTAATCGGCTCCCAAAGATCACTTACTCTATAGGGTAAAACGCCGTTAATCGGCTCCCAAAGATCACTTGCTCCATACGGTAAAACGCCGTTAATCGGCTCACAAAGATCACTTGCTCTATAGGGTAAACCGCTGTTAATCGGCTCCCAAAGATCACTTGCTCTATAGGGTAAAACGCCGTTAATCGGCTCCCAAAGATCACTTGCTCTATACGGTAAAACGCCGTTAATCGGCTCACAAAGATCACTTGCTCTATAGGGTAAAACGCCGTTAATCGGCTCACAAAGATCACTTGCTCTATAGGGTAAACCGCTGTTAATCGGCTCCCAAAGATCACTTACTCTATACGGTAAAACGCTGTTAATCGGCTCCCAAAGATCACTTACTCTCTTTGGTGTATTAACATTACTTATTGTTAATTTAATTAAGTTAAAACTGTGGCAACCACTTTTTATGGAAACATGTTACAGTTGAAACGTGTCTTGATAAATGACACCCGTCTGACAATAATACTTTTTCAGCCAACCAGCAAAAAATTAGATTTTTCAGCCAATTAGAAAATGGGCTTTTTTTTCAGCCAATCAGAAAAAAATGGGCTTTTTCAGCCAATCAGAAAAAAAATTGACTTTTTCAGCCAATCAGGAAAAAATTGGCTTTTTCAGCCAATCAGGAAAAATGGGCTTTTTTAGCCAATCAGGAAAAATGGGCTTTTTCAGCCAATCAGGAAAAATGGGCTTTTTCAGCCAATCAGGAAAAAATTGGCTTTTTCAGCCAATCATAAAAATGGGCTTTTTCAGACAATCATAAAAAAATATGCTTTTTTTCAGCCAATCAGAAAAAATTGGCTTTTTTCAGCCAATCAGAAAAAATTGGCGTTTTTCAGCCAATCAGAAAAAAAATGGGCTTTTTTTTCAACCAATCAGAAAAAATGGGCTTTTTCAGACAATCAGAAAAAATGGGCTTTTTCAGCCAATCAGAAAAATGGGCTTTTTCAGCTAATCAGAATCACTCTCAGATGGCATATTGGGGTTTGCCGACATGACTTTCTGGGGAGCAGTTTTGCAGAAGTCAGAAGGGCAAGTCTTTTGGCGAAGGCAAACTAAATAATTCAAAGCACATTTTAAACTTAAATGGCACAACAGGATGACTTTTTAATTAGCAAAAATCAAAGGATGCAGAAAACAAAAACCCTTTAAAAGTTTAAATGGTAGCTATGGTGAAGCGTGTGCCAGGTTTAACTACGCGAGGGCATCCAAACGTACCTGATTGAACGCCGCAGAGCCGTGGGTTTTATTGGGCCAGGAGAAGTCCAGAATCTGACTGTTGAGGAGGATCCCAGAGGGCGTCACGATGCGACTCCCAAACGGCCGGTTTAGTGAGCTAAGAGCATAAGTTACATCATTCATGAATGTGAATCAACAAGTTCAGCATAAGTAAGTGGTGTCCAATCCGGCTTCTGGAGTGCATCTTTAAAACACTTGAAGAGCTTGATGAGCTGGTTCAGGTGTGTTTACCAGGGTTGAAGCTGGACCGGACACACACACACACACTCTCTCTCACAGTCACGCACCTCATAACAGACACGATCAGGTCATCGGTGCCCATGATCATGAGCTGGCTGGCCACAGCGCCCTCCTGCAGCTCATACGACGGGACGTAGTGCTCGGCGGCCGACGCCTGCGAGTCGTTGATCATTTCCCGGAAAACAGCAGCCTGGGTTTTACTGTCAAAGACATGAATGTTCAGCCAATCACATCGAAAATATATTGAACAATGCCATGAATAAACTGATCACTGCCTTGAGAAACTCACTGTTAGAACAGAAAATGCTGATTCTAATTATTGTTAGAAGGATTCTGCCTCAATAGTCACCTGAGCATCTGCGCCACCAGCTCAGAGACCGAGTCGTCAAACATGGGGTCTCCCAGTCCACTGGCCTGGGACAGAGCGATCTTCAGCGACTACACGTCCAGCAAACGAGACCGACAGGAACAGAGCATTACACGAGCCTGAGCGCCACGGTTATTCAGAAAACCACTTGAAATCATTTAGTCAAATGAAACAAATTTGAATGTCAACTAAAATTAAATAATTAACTGATTATTTTTATTTATTTTAGCTAGTTGCCAAGGCAATATTTATCATTTAAACTTGATGTACTTAAACAGAAATAAATAAAAACTATATGGACATTTCAAAAACTACTAATAAGGGGGACAAAAACATACATTTTCTAAAAATTCAGAATTTTAACCTGAAAGTAAAAAACCAAAAAAAAATAATAGCAATAAAAATTATAATAGCATATACTAAATTTATCCCTTTAAGCTTAATGAACGAGGTGATCACATGACACTTCTCATTACATTGACTTCCATTCATACGCATAGATGTTGTGTCTTGTTTTCTGGGGGGGGGGAAATCTAAATGTAGCGAGTTATCTGCCAACGGGGTAAGACAAATAATCATAATTCAAATGCAAACAATTACAGTACTTTTCTAACCCCATTATCAGATTTTTTTGCTTATTTTTAAGCAAAAACTCATTTAGATTTCCCCCCCAGAAAACAAGATAACATCCTCTGGCATTGTCACTAATCAAGTAAAAGCATCTTGATTTAAGAGATTTTAGATATTTGGACTGGAAATAAGTCAAAAATACTGAGTAAGAAAAGCATTTTTTGCAAAGCCTGCATCAAATAGAACAGGAAACTCTTTAGTCAGTGTGTAACACATAATGAAAAGAGCAAGCAGACAATAATCTGATTACTAAGAACACACACATCACTATTGAAAACAATGTGCCCAGTGAAATGCGAGTACCTCAGCCACCCAGTGGTAGATCTGTCCCCGGGACACCTGGCGTGTGATGTTGAACCCCTCCAGGATGTTGAGCGCGGAGAGGAGGGCGGCTCCGGCGTGCGGCGGAGGAGGAGCGAACACCCGCTGGCCTGTCAGAGACACACACACACACACCGCCACGGTCAGTAACACAGGCCTGGTCTATCTGGAGAACTGAGACATCACAGGCTACCGGAAAACTAAAGCATCGTATAACACCCAAGCAGAAGAAATCTAGTCCCCTGATGCTCTTCGGGGCATTTTGCTAAATTTGAACATTTTGTCCAAATGGCACTGAAACTTTGTACGGCTGTCAATCCTTTCGAGATCTACCAAAAAATAAAAAAAAGAAAAATTGTAGTGACATTATTGAATGATTTCAGTGCAAAAAATTCTAAACTTTGAAAAAAAAAAGTCATTTTTATTGTTATAATTGTGATTTTTATAATATTTAGATGAATTCAACTGGATATCTTTCAGTTACTCAAACAGCATAGTGGAGCTCTATCTGGTGGCTAAAATGATCATTTTTTACTTTTAAAAACAAAATTTTCCAAAATATGGGCAAAAAATTTACACTAAACCATTTAAAATTATCCATGTTATGAACGCGGCTTGACAACAGAACCGGAAGATAATACAATGCTGAGTAAAGTAGTAGGTTTTGTTATTTTTGGACCAAAATTATTAACTTTTAGCCAATTTCCATACAGATACTTCCCTTAGAATGATTATTCACACTTTGCCGTCACGTGACAACCATGGCGGGCAACAAACGTTGAGAAAATGGCGACAAACAGTGGCCAGCCAGGGGAATTGCAGCCTTGCAAATTTCCAATACTATACAATACAATCGATTAACTATTTAGACCATATGTCACCGAATGTTAAAATTAGATATCAAGAAAAGATTAACATACTCGGAGTGTGTGACCCATACACAGCACTCGCTGATGTTTTGGCTGGCAAAGTCTCTATCAGACTTGAAGTTCGGAGATATTTACATGAGTTATATCTTATAGAGAGCCTAAGTCCCTCCCCTTGCGGTCGACCACCATGGGACCTTATTTCGGAAAAATATTGAATGGTAGTCAATGGCGAGAGACAACAAATATTTTGATCTCGTTTGAATTGTGCCCTGAATTACGCATATGATGTTTGTCAATTTAAAAGATACATTTTAAAGTAAAGAAAGTCACAGTTTGATGTAAAACCGTTGAGGTATCCACAAGTTTCCGAGGGGCGCTCCTGTAAAAAATAAAGTGGGTGAAACTTCCGGTGACGCGGCGGAAGGTGGTATTTTGTGTGTTAGTTAGCGAAGAGGCTAGCTGTTTTTCGGAGAATTATTTTACTATTTAAAGACGCAAATCTTTATGAGAGATGTCGTTACGGAGCTCAGAAACAACATGTGCTGTTCGCGGTTGTATGTATAACCAGACTAAACTAATTTAGTGGCTTAAACGGGATTGTTTTGAACATAAGCTGAAAACGAAATCAGAGTGATCCTGCCAGAGCCCGTCTCTGATCCTGCCAACGACTGTAGTTTCCATCACCTCCCAAAAGACGACGAATCTTCCTGTGTACATTTGTTTAAATTCTTAATGTTCTCTAAACTCTATCAGCATGTGTTTGGCTGTTCGCTACTGATATTACACCTAAACTCAGGATCAAAGCCTGTGTTGACAGAATACCAAATGTGCCAGTTAATGTATTCAAGTAGCACATTCATTTATAATTTTGAATAAACTCCAAAGCACAATAACTAGTGTGTATTTTTTATTTTAATTGTTTGTCAGCTCGCACAACTGTCTGTCAACATGCCTTGATCAGTATTGATTATTAATAATGTTATTATAATACTCCCAATCAACTACTGTGGAGGGTAAAGGTACTGTTATTTCACCCTTTTTAATTTCGTTGAGGTTGTGTTCCCACATCGTTAGCTAGTTTGGATCGCTATAACTTGAATGACTGTCAACTGTTGAATGAACGAGTGTCAAGCATGTCAAATCGCGCTTTGTTTACTTCCAACCGGAAGTCGCGCCCACTTTTGACGCAAGGCCTCATGGGGCGTAGGAAACTTGTGTATAAGACTGTGAAAATACGGAATTACAAAGACTACAAACCCCAAAGGCGCACATTTTCTCTCAATGAATGAAGCTAACTTTACTGAGGCTGTCTGTCATTGTTTCTATAGTCTTACGTTATAATCGTAACGTTACGCGTACCTAAGTGTTTTGTACCAGACTGCACACGAGCAGCGGATCTCACTGGTTTCGCTTCCCGGGAGATGTAGTTCATAGAGCGATTTTCACATAAAACTAAATGTTACTCTTCTGTTGTATGACAAACTGCGACGTTTTTGACTTTCGGAATTATCTTTTAATTGACAAACATCATATGTGTAATTGAGGACACAGTTCAGACGGAATAAAAAGATAAGTTGTCTCTCGCCATTGACTACCATTCATATTTTTTCCGAAATAAGGTCCCATGAGACGGAAGAGAAGGGGCGGGACTTAGGCTCTCTATAGAGAATCCGTCACAATACACCACACAAAACATGAAAGCCTACAAAAGAACAGATAGCTATCTTTTTTTCAAGAGTGGATGTGTTAACAACGCTGTCATATGGGAGGTGAAAAAAAATCAAAGCAAAGGTCCGTTACTCCGTTTGCTTATGTTTGCAGCTATACACAAAGTGACATCTGATGAAGTCTTCATCTGAATATGTACACCCTGCCTGCTGGCGAATGACAGCTTGACTTATGCCAACTGCATCATATATGGCTAGCAGGATGTCAAGCATTGTAGCTGACCTGCTTATCCACTCGACAGCATCAGACAAAGCAGCGAGATGCGTATAATCCTGTTAGCAATCTGTTAGGCTGTAATGTAGTATGGTAATAAGTGTACAATAGTATGCATGCATGCAAAGTAACTGTAAGTAATAAGTAGACGCAGTGCAACAGTAACGCGTCATTCATCTCATATCATATCAAATCAAAACACGTACAGATGAGCGCGCTCTCGCCACCTACTGGCAAACGTGTATGTTAAGATTACACGATTGACTTTAGTGCATCCAACCGCACAACAACTATCTGGCATGTCGTTTACACCTTAAAAACACCATCTTTTGTATATTAAAACTGGCGACATCCTGGCATGATCCTTGATTAGTTTACTGGGTTTCGTGGCTAGAAAACGACGCTCTTGCCCGCCAGCACTTGTAACGTCACGAGCAAAGTATGAACTGTGTACTTTATAAAATACTGCTGAACTTCCCCTTGCAATTCTCGTCCACCCAGTTCTGAGTAGACAAGCAACAACAATAATTGTGCACTACTCCTGAAACTGATACAGGCTAAAGCAGAAGGGTGTTTTATTGCTCTACTGTTGGCAGCTGTGAAGGTCAACAGAGAGTTAAACTTCTGCAGTAAATCAAGAGATAAACTGCCACAGACAGACATTTCAAAGACTCGTCGGCTCTTTTAGAGCAGCTTGCTTTTGCGCCGACGTCACAGTTACGTCACGGCGCTAGCTGGAGGCAAAACAAAGTGAAAACTGGAGGCGGCCAATTCAAACCAGCACAGATTCGGCTACATAATAAGGAGCTTAAATAATTGTTACTATTATTAAATGTCATCTTGTTGTGTTGTTTGGTGCAAGAATCGATGAAAAATGAATATGCTGTATCTGGAACTTTTATTTCTAGAAAATATTTACATCATTAAAATCGCACTGTAATGCCACTCTTTACATTGTCATGGTCTCGGCGCTGGCTCGGCAGAACTGCGGATCATACACACAAGTCTTGTACAGGACCATATAGGCATCTAAAGATTTATGGCCTCAGTTTCTCTTTACGATCGGTTTCTCTGTAAGTGTAGAAGTCAGGCCACTCAACCGAGGTAACGTAACGTTAATCCTGTCAGATCGTCCATGCATTGAGTGAGCGTGTAGGCGGCTACGGGTCGGCCAATCTGGTTCCGTCCGTTAAAAATAACTTTTGGAAATAACTAGGGCTGGGCAAAAAAAATCGATTTTTCGATTAATCGTTTTTTAAAATGTGGTCGATTCAAAATCGATTCTCAACGGCCACGAATCGATTTTTTTCCATATAAAGGGCTCGCGGACGCGGTGCGGCGTCTTCTCGTCTCACTGCACTAGGTAAGCGCTAACTGCAGCTGTTGAAACACACACGCGTTTAGGAGTCGGGACACGACGGAATATTCACTTGCACAATCGGGCCAGCATTGCATCGTGACCTATGATCGTAACTAACATTTATCATTCATTTGCTCAAGCAATGTTAAACCATCCCGTGCTCGCGCACTCTCAGAGATTTCTTTCACTGCGTGCACAGCCTAAATCTGCCTCACAAACAGCTCGCCAGAAACAAAAGTTTTATCCCTGGATTATATCGCTTTAACAGTTAAAACACGCAACATTATGTCAAAACTCTGGTCTTGGTGAGTAACCTCGTAAAGACAGTCGGTAATGTCTTAAATTAGCATTAAACGTGTGTGACAGAAAGTTAATGAAACAGTAATGGATTCGCGCACTAGTTCTTAAAGTGAACGCAGCCATTTGTGTCAGTCATTAATTCTGTTGTCATAACAACAGAATATAGTATTAATTGTAAGCAATCAGAATTAATAGCCTTTGTATTTAATTCAGTCTGGACTAAAAAGACTATCCAGTGTTATTTTACATTGGATTACTTTATTCAGTTTCTGTAGTATTTCTGACATACCCAAAAAACTACCCCAAAATGTCTCTTAATTTTTGTCTTTATTCTATTGTATTTATTTGTGCTACTTTTTTCAATTTAATTCAAAGATTGAAATCAAGCATCCATACATAAACTCTTAACAAAAAAAAATACATTAACATTTAGGTAAGATCAATGTAAAAAATGTCTAAATATTTATATATTTATCTATCTTAAACATAAAATAACATGATACTGTTTGATCAAGCTGTGCGACTGTTCTGTGCGACTCTTTTTTGCATATTGCATCAAAATCTTTGTATGCATTTAGTGTACCTAAAATAAAAAGTGTTTTATATATAGGTTTATGGCTCTTAATTTTCTTGTATTAATTAACCACTAGTAAACTTATGTCCACTGTTCTTTTTTATAAATTATAAATATAGGATTTTTATTACATCTTCATTGTAGTTGAATCGAGAATCAAATCAGGAATCGAGAATCGAAAATCGAAATCGAATCGAACTGAGAGCTTGCGAATCGAAATTGAAATGTGAATCGATACCCAGCCCTAGAAATAACAATCGCGGTCCTGGACACTGAGTGACCTTACACATTAAGATAATATCGGATTTCTCCAGTCATTGTTAAAAAACAAGCTAACAATCCTTGCTAACTAGCGTTAGTGAAGCGGCCAGATGGATCTTTCTGCCTCCACCCACAAAAAACGTCACCATGTTTACCAACTGTAAAAGGGTCTATAGACCGATGGGTTTTTACCCTGGTAAAGAGTTTGCAGCGGCTTCTGTATGATAGTGGAGTAGTTTTTGAAATCATCCTCTGTCAGCACGCCTCCTTTAGCTTGAACCTGGTCACAAAAACACATAATAATGCCACTAGTATATGTTCTGTTGTTAAGCTATTAGAAGCACACAGAAAACACCTGCAGAATGGTTAAAATGGCAGTGTTTGAGGTGTTTAAATTGAAAAAAAATATGAATAAATATTATAATAGTATTTATACCATGGTCTGGGTGAATACTCGATTCTGATTGGCTGCAGGGTGTCCATTAAAAGCGAGAGGACACCTAGTAAAGGAGTTCTGGTGAAACTGACCGCTTACCGTTCGAAATGAATGAACAAATGCGCTGGCTACATCAGCTGTGAGTGAGTAACCATAGCAACAGATTAGCCGTTATACATAAGCTGTGTCTGAAACCGCTCACTCGTTCACTCATTCACTATATAGTGTATGGCATTTGAGTGCAGTATATCTGCAAGGAGTGAATGAGATGAAGTGAGTGAATTCGGACGCTGACGTTTACACTGTGCGTCGGAGAGTTGGAGCTGTCGCAGAAAAGGCTTCGTCACACGTACTGATAAAACTCCTTTTATCTTACGTTACTTACTTTATAAAATAATATTAACAACAATAACAATCATAATGACTTTATTTTGTAATTATATACACCTCCGTGCCAGCTTTGTCTGACTGAAATTGTAACTCTCACGCTCACAGATGACGTGTCGTCGAGCGCCCTCCGGCGTCCGTTATTATATCCGATTCCTAACGACGATTAACGGATATTTTTCAAATCCTCCACTACACTGGATGTAATGTAATCTCTGGTTTAAACTTGCTCGCGCCGCACTTTCAAGTTCTCTCCGCATTGGATTGTGGGAAATAGTGCTTCACCAAGTGTACATCGAATGTACACTCGAATTCAGAGAGGATTGTGGGTAAAAGTAGTGAATGAATGTAGGGAATGATGTCGTTCACTCAGAATTCGGACACCACTACAAAATGGCCGACACCCGATATAGAGCACTATATAGTGGATAGGGAGCGATTTCAGACACAGCTATAGTCTACAAATACAACAATGAGCTTGTTAATTCTTTTAACCTTTTTGGAAAATTTGACATAAAATTTTACTTTATGGCTCGTAAGTTGGCTAAACTGAGCTGAGTGAACTATAAATATCTCCGGTTGCTAAATAAACCGTCAGGGAAACCAAGTTATTGTTTGTAAAAAGTTTAGATTTCGATTGTACAACTAATTAAAATATAAACTAATGTTTTAAAAATGTGTTATTTGGCAAGTGACCATGGTATAAGCGGGTTAATGCCCTTCGAGCTTTTAATCCTTACATATAAATAACACTAAAATAACATTAGAGACGTACCACTGATGTCATTTCCTGAGTCAGATTCCCACTGTAGAACTCTGAGATTCCATTGGCTGCAATCTTGTCCAAAATGGCCGCTAGATCCAGACGTTTAGCGAGGACTCCCGCGAGTGGAGCCTGACCGCTAGGCAGGAACAGATCTCTGAAAGCGTCCGACACATTCTCCTCCTTCACTTTAGACAACGCATCAGCTGGGAAAAAGATGAAGGAAGTTACACCAAACCGCTTCAAATTCAGCATAAAAACTAAACCGAAACGTCTACTTTTCTTGCTACACATTCTTCTGAATTTCTCTTCGGCAAACTACTTACTTTTCAAGCCCGCATTCTGTCAAATGTACTGCTACTAACGAGGCCAAGCAAAATAATTAAAAACAGTTGACGACACCTTAAAAGCGTGTTTGATTGCTTTCTAAACCACAAAGGTTTCCATTTACAGTGGCTACAATAATCGGCGCTTGTAAAAACAGTCACGAAATATCTGTTGAGCGCATGAACGCACTAGCCAATCAGAGGTGATAGTCGGTATCCACTCAACAGGAGCCGCGCGCTCGCTAATCCTTTCATTATAAGCCTACCAACAAAGTGTAAACACCATGTAAACAAGAGATGCGTTTTACAATCAAGACAGCTTTTTTATTATATCGCGGGTTTCTGACGGAGTGTAGAATTCAGTGAGCTTGTGTTTTAGAGATTGACGGCCTCGAGTCTTCTCTTGCGTGCCGGTTATTACCCATTCACAATCTGAATACAACTTTCGTTTTTCAAGCTGCTCAGTACACTGCGAAGTTTCTGGATCGGCAGCCGTATTTAACCCTTATGCTGCATTAGGGACATTTTTGGACTTTTGCAGTTTAATTTCTTTGACCATTTTGGCTGTTTTAATGCAAATGGTATGAAATTTGGCAAAATTGTGACTTTTTGGATACATGTAAAAAATGTGATCCCATTTTGCAAAATATGTATAACACACACTGTGTAGATCAAATAGTAACACTCAGCACCATAAAGACCAAAAATGGCCCATTGAAACCCATTAAAACGTTGTTTAAATCTGAGGCTGTCAGTAATACATGAAACATGATTTTTGCACAAACATCCTTTCATTTTGAAGCAAAAGCATTATATTTGCATTATATAGTGTATTCCACCAGATGACGTCACTACATATTTATTCCCTATGGGTGGAAATGCACCTTATTTTAGGCAATAGGCAATGTTTAATAGGTGGCCATTTTTGGTCTCTAACGCACTAAGTGGGATTTTTTGCAAAGTGGGACTGTGATCATCCAAATCTAAAGTTTTCTCTTTGCATTTAGTTTATTGAAAATAATTGAATTTTTGTGTTTTTTCCTCTTATACAAATCGATGGTTTCGCAAACAAAACTGGTAATTAAAGGGTTAAAATCCTGAAATTGAATACATTTTTGGTAGTTATGATGAGGACTGATGCTGGTTAAAAGATTTAACTTGGTAAAAGTGGAAAATAATAATAATATATAATATTTTAGGCAATGTTTAATATGTGGCCATTTTTGGTCCTTAATGCACTCAACGGTGTTAAAAATCGAATGCAGCACAAGAGTTAAGTGTGTGACTGACTCAGAAACTGTGAATGACAGTGATGACAATCGGATTGGACAAAATGGCAATAAAAAAAAAAAGAAAAAGTACTATATTCAACAGTTTTCGCTCTGGTACTGAAACTGGCACAGAGAACCGCAATATTTTACTGGTATTGGTACCGACTACTGTAACTTTTTGTACCGTGAAAACCCTACAGACCCGTCCTGTAGACTTCAGTCATGTGTGTCACGTGCTCACCCAGCTCATGCGTAACGTTGAATCCGTCCCTCGCCACGTCTGCAGCCGAAGTGATGACGTCTTTCCACGACAGTCTAGAGAAGGGCGAACACGCACCACGGTCAAGCATTTAAAGTGACAATTGATACAAATATGAAAAATAATTCTCTATTACTCAGTAAGATGTCTTCAAGTGGGTGCACAATAGGACCTATAGGAGCTTAAAATTGTCCACAATATCCCAAAACCACAAGCAGAAATCTCATTTCCAGTGGCATAAAATGCCTAGACCAGTCATACAAGTTAGCAATCTCATTTATTTTCTTTAAGAATAGTTATACCTTTTTAATTCTGTTACATTTCTACCGTCAATAGTGTAGCGATGTATGAGGTACAGCTCACACGGAAGACACTTGCAAACAAAGCAGCTTTCTGTTGGTCAACACAATGAATCTGTGTGAACAACATGAACTTGATGCTAAATATGCATGTGGAAATCTTTCAGCCCAGAGTGACATTCCTAAATCATGTGATCCTAAATCCACATTGGACTGGATTTTGAACAGAAAACCCCAGCCTGAAATGCCCTGTTTGTAGTTCTGCCATTATTTCTGTGATTAAGCTGTGTCACCATGTAACATTTCCATAATGCCCGCCCCTTCAGACTTACGGCTGACTATCAAAAATGATGACCATTAAAATACCAGCCTAATGACTATGATGTAATGATGACGGTGTGGTTTCAGTCTGCCGCCTCAAATGATTCACACAGACATGGCAAAACAAGTGAAAATATTTAATAAAACACAAACCTACAACACACTGATTATTCAGACAAATGGATATTAAAATGAAAGAGGATGAAAAAAAATAAGAGTTGGGGGGAATTTTTTTTAAATTATAAACCCATGACAACAATGTCCTGTTTACATAAATACTCCATCCTGTTATCACATTCATGATCAGACATACCACTGTATAATGCACATATATATTCAGGCATGTGATTGGCTAAGGACAAAAAAGCAGGAAAATGTACCGAATCACCCCCCCCCCCCCCCCGCCCCCCCCAATCAATATATACCCCAATATCTTTTCCGCTTTTCTGTTTTTTGTTGTTTAATTAACATTAAATAGATAGTTCTCCCAAAAAAAATAATTTTCATCATTTACTCTCTCAAGTTGTTTTAAACCTGAAAAAGTTTCTTTCTTCTGTTTAAGTTACTTAAGTTATTTGGAAGAATGTCGGTAACCAAACAGTTGATGTACCCCAGTGATTTCCATAGTAAATTTTTCCCTATGGATGTCAATGGGGACCAGCAACTGTCTGGTTACCCACATTCTTCAAAATATCTTCTTTTTTGTTCAGCACAAGAAATAAATTAATACAGGTTTGGAACAACATTACAGTGAATAAATAATGACAGAATTTTTATTTTGGGGTCAACTATCCATTTAAGAACAAGCGGCTGCATTTTTATTATTAGGGCTACTGTCACTTTAAGACCTGGACGCGACAAGCAGATTTCTCTCAATTTTCTCGGTTTGCTTTGAGTTTAGACAACCAAATGTTCTTATGTAAACCTTGTGTGTATTTGAGAGTATTAGCGAAATAATACTCGAAAGATAACTTAGTCCAGCAACCAGGCGCTGTTAGACAAGCTTTTAGTACATGTGCACGTCGGGTGTTCGCGCTCAGAACTGCGCATCAGCAATGAATGACATGTTTAACCGGCAAGGCTTTAAAGCACGTGCAAATTAACTTTTGTGAACTCACTGAACTGATGTAGCCGTTCCTCTGCGTTAATATTGCGAGTATTTGTCGCGTTGTACACTAATGCTGTTGAGACGGAGGTATCAGGACTGCAACAGAATGCACGATATAGCTGCTACATATTTCTACAAAAGCAGTCAGCAGCTTGCTTGGAGCAATGATCATAGCGCAAATTTGAAATATATAGATATATCGCCCAGTCCTGGTGACCTAACTGTGATGTTCTTGTCAACTAACAACGATACCAGCGCGAGAGCGACTAGAGATACGAAATTGAGCAGGTGAACAAGCTGAACCAATTAGACATTTTCTGGCTGAACGCAAATACGTCCTTGTTGATACTTTGAAAGGAACTTTCTGTTCGCACGTCAGCCAGTTATGGGTTATGTCCTCATTCTCTCCCTTTCACTCCGGTTGCCGACACCCGTCCCCCTCTTTTTTTTTTTCTCAGATCTGCATGATTCACGTAGGTCACATTTTCAGGTCGGAAAATCCGGAATTCCGGATTAATCCGGAAAAATCACATCCCTGTATATTTCATTTTAAGAAGACATGACAGAATGTGGGCAACAGTCTGGGCAAAAGAGTAGAGTAGACCGATCACAACAGACTGGGTCATCTGACCAATCAGAGCAGAGTAGACCAGTCACAACAGACTGGGCCATCTGGCCAATCAGAGCAGAGTAGACCGATCACAACAGACTGGGTCATCTGACCAATCAGAGCAGAGTAGACCAATCCCAACAGACTGGGCCATCTGACCAATCAGAGCGGAGTAGACCAATCCCAACAGACTGGGCCATCTGACCAATCAGAGCGGAGTAGACCAGTCACAACAGACTGGGCCATCTGACCAATCAGAGCGGAGTAGACCAGTCACAACAGACTGGGCCATCTGACCAATCAGAGCAGAGTAGACCAATCCCAACAGACTGGGTCATCTGGCCAATCAGAGCAGAGTAGACCAATCACAACAGACTGGGCCATCTGACCAATCAGAGCTGAGTAGACCAATCACAACAGACTGGGCCATCTGACCAATCAGAGCAGAGTAGACCAATCCCAACAGACTGGGCCATCTGACTAATCAGAGAATCAGAGCGGAGTAGACCAATCCCAACAGACTGGGCCATCTGACCAATCAGAGCGGAGTAGACCAGTCCCAACAGACTGGGCCATCTGACCAATCAGAGCAGAGTAGACCAATCACAACAGACTGGGCCATCTGACCAATCAGAGCGGAGAAGACCAGTCCCAACAGACTGGGCCATCTGACCAATCAGAGCGGAGAAGACCAGTCACAACAGACTGGGCCATCTGACCAATCAGAGCAGAGTAGACCAATCACAACAGACTGGGCCATCTGACCAATCAGAGCTGAGTAGACCAATCACAACAGACTGAGCCATCTGACCAATCAGAGCGGAGTAGACCAGTCACAACAGACTGGGCCATCTGACCAATCAGAGCGGAGAAGACCAGTCCCAACAGACTGGGCCATCTGACCAATCAGAGCGGAGTAGACCAGTCACAACAGACTGGGCCATCTGACCAATCAGAGCAGAGTAGACCAATCACAACAGACTGGGCCATCTGACCAATCAGAGCTGAGTAGACCAATCACAACAGACTGGGCCATCTGGCCAATCAGAGCAGAGTAGACCAATCCCAACAGACTGGGCCATCTGACCAATCAGAGCAGAGTAGACCAATCCCAACAGACTGGGCCATCTGACCAATCAGAGCAGAGTAGACCAGTCACAACAGACTGGGCCATCTGACCAATCAGAGCAGAGTAGACCAATCCCAACAGACTGGGTCATCTGGCCAATCAGAGCAGAGTAGACCAATCACAACAGACTGGGCCATCTGACCAATCAGAGCTGAGTAGACCAATCACAACAGACTGGGCCATCTGACCAATCAGAGCAGAGTAGACCAATCCCAACAGACTGGGCCATCTGACTAATCAGAGAATCAGAGCGGAGTAGACCAATCCCAACAGACTGGGCCATCTGACCAATCAGAGCGGAGTAGACCAGTCCCAACAGACTGGGCCATCTGACCAATCAGAGCAGAGTAGACCAATCACAACAGACTGGGCCATCTGACCAATCAGAGCGGAGAAGACCAGTCCCAACAGACTGGGCCATCTGACCAATCAGAGCGGAGAAGACCAGTCACAACAGACTGGGCCATCTGACCAATCAGAGCAGAGTAGACCAATCACAACAGACTGGGCCATCTGACCAATCAGAGCTGAGTAGACCAATCACAACAGACTGAGCCATCTGACCAATCAGAGCGGAGTAGACCAGTCACAACAGACTGGGCCATCTGACCAATCAGAGCGGAGAAGACCAGTCCCAACAGACTGGGCCATCTGACCAATCAGAGCGGAGTAGACCAGTCACAACAGACTGGGCCATCTGACCAATCAGAGCAGAGTAGACCAATCACAACAGACTGGGCCATCTGACCAATCAGAGCTGAGTAGACCAATCACAACAGACTGGGCCATCTGGCCAATCAGAGCAGAGTAGACCAATCCCAACAGACTGGGCCATCTGACCAATCAGAGCAGAGTAGACCAATCCCAACAGACTGGGCCATCTGACCAATCAGAGCAGAGTAGACCAATCCCAACAGACTGGGCCATCTGACCAATCAGAGCAGAGTAGACCAATCACAACAGACTGGGCCATCTGACCAATCAGAGCAGAGTAGACCAATCCCAACAGACTGGGCCATCTGACCAATCAGAGCAGAGTAGACCGATCCCAACAGACTGGGCCATCTGACCAATCAGAGAAGAGTAGACCAATCACAACAGACTGAGCCATCTGACCAATCAGAGCAGAGTAGACCAATCACAACAGACTGGGCCATCTGACCAATCAGAGCAGAGTAGACCAATCACAACAGACTGGGCCATCTGACCAATCAGAGCAGAGTAGACCAATCCCAACAGACTGGGCCATCTGACCAATCAGAGCAGAGTAGACCAATCACAACAGACTGGGCCATCTGACCAATCAGAGCAGAGTAGACCAATCACAACAGACTGGGCCATCTGACCAATCAGAGCAGAGTAGACCAATCACAACAGACTGGGCCATCTGACCAATCAGAGCAGAGTAGACCAATCACAACAGACTGGGCCATCTGACCAATCAGAGCAGAGTAGACTGGGCTTTTTGGATGGGCTTTAAAGAGACAGGAACTACAGTGCATTTCAGACAGAAGGTGAGATGAGGAATTGCTATACCTTCCATACAGCTGATGAGCCTGGTGCAGTCCACTGATCATGCCTGGGACGGCCACGGACAGACCCGACTAACAGACACAGAGAGACACGTCAGCGCCTGCAGAACCAGCACACTGCAGATACTGTGTTTGTGCAAACACCTGCACTTATTGATTTGCTTCGGATTTTTAAGAACATCATATGACGCACATTAAGCCAAGATGAAAGCAGATCAAAATAAAGCTTTACCCTTTGATTAACATTTATCATCATGTCCTCGTGAATCCCGGAGGGTGCCATCTCACGGAAGTCAATGACCCGGCTCTCGTTATTCCGGATGTCATGGATGAGCATCACGCCACCCCTGAGAAGAAAGCACGATAGAGTCACTCACTGTTGTTGATGAATCACCCACAAAATCAGTTTCTCCATCCCTGCACACGTGCCTCCTCGCAGCACTCTCTTCAAGCCTCCGGGGGTCTTAGGACCAATCCAATTTCCATGAACTTTACAGTTATTTCTGGTTATTTCTTCTTTTGAAAAAATCCTTCAACAGATTTCTTTCTAGACTTTTGAAATAATATTTAAACAATTATAATCAAGGAGACTTTGCACTCAATTTCTCATTGATTTCTCAGAAAGACAAACATCACAGAGATATGTAAAAGATTTTACAACAGAAAATTCCTAAGATTTTGCTCACTTCTATTACTTTTCCAGTGCAAACACAATTCCCTGACAGTGGGAAACCAGTGTCTACTTTTCTTAAGCTCGTAATCTTTAAAGGGATAGTTCACCCAAAAATGGAAAATCTGTCATTAACTCACGCTTGAGACTTTTGTCCATCTTCAAAACACAAATGAAGACCCTGAGAGACTTCTGTGCCTCTGAAAGTCCATTACACCTCAATTTTACACTTAAAAAAGTTCATAAAGGCGTTGTAAAACTGATTCATTCATATGGATTGGTTTAATCCGGGACTTCTGAAGAGACACGATTGCTTCATATGTTAGATGTTTTGAGCTTATGTTTACCAAATATCATTTTTGGGTAAACCAACCCTTTAAAGTTTCCCTTAGATAAAGAAAGCCAGTGGTTAAGCTCGTACCCGCCGATGCCCGAGGCGTGGGGGTGGATGATGCCCAGGCAGAGGGAAGCGGCGATGGCGGCGTCCACGCTGGACCCGTGTTTGCCCAGGACGTCCAAGCCCAGAGACGTGCAGCGGGCCACGTCCGACACCACTGCGGCCTGACTGTACACCTGAGGGAAGCGGTCACACAGAGGCCAAAAAAAAAAAAAAAAAAAAAAAAAAAACCACCAAAAAATGATACGTTTGATTGGACAAAACATTAATAGCTAGGGCTGGGTAATAAATATCGATTTCTCGATATTAATCGATTCTCATTTTTATGAACCGATATCGATTGTTTAATCTCAAGAATCGATTAGTCATCCTGTTTCATTTGAATGAATGGATCATTGTATCGCGGCTGCGCGCATCCAAAAAACTCACAATAATCTTTGTCCTTTGTTACTATTGATATGAAACAAAGTCTCAATTTTCAAATTACATCCATTTTCTTTAGAAATTCAAAAACATAAATAGAGTTTTGGCGCTGTGGCGTGAGATCGCTCTGGAGAAGCAGCAGCGCTGATCTCTCTTCCGGGTTAATAATACCAGTCACAGCGCCAAATAAACATGAATGAGCATCTGAAAGTGTGTTAAAGATAGAGCACAACTTATCGAAATCTGTATCATGTCACATTGATTCGCTCAACCAGCGTTTCAACCGTGGAAAGACGTCAATTAAACAGCTTGTATTCAATGTCATGTATCGTCATATTTACCTCAGAAAACCCACATAAACTCGTTAGTCAGCTAGAAAAAAATAACTCTAGAGAGGAGCATTTTGCTAAATATATACACCATATTACATATGCATTATAATCTTAATGTTCTTCAATATTGAATGCATATTTGAATAAATCTGGCAAGTTTTTATGACAGCCACCATTTAAATGTTTATATTTCATATAATCTTATTATAAAAATAAATAAAAGTGTAATTTAAGTGTTTGTATAGCTACAAAACAGTTCATTATTACCTTCATATTAGGCTAATGAAGCCTATAGGCTACAACTCGACTCCCATAGTTTACAGCATTAGTTAGAGATTTGATTCCCTTGAGAAAAAATGGCCATTTATTGTAACTGATATCCAAAATAATCGATATTGAATCGAATCGAAATCGAATTGCAAGCTTGTGAATCGAAATCGAATCGAATTGTGAAATTTGTCTCAATACCCAGCCCTATTAATAGCACACGTTTTCTCAATGAGCAAATCAACTTGAGGCACTACCAAGCCCACCAACTATCTTTTTTGCTAGTGTTAGCCAAAGGTAAGCAGTTTTCCTTCGGTTAACACTGATTACGTTTACATGCAGCCAATTTTCGGGTTATGGTCGGGTTAAGGTCACTATTCGGGTTTCTGAACATTAGGAATAACCCGTTTACATGCGTGAGCAGAGACAGTTTCTCCTGTATACATGGAATTGCAATACCCCGATGTAAACGGCGACGCGCGGTTAGCGTCTAGACATACGGACAACCTTAAGACACAATATGCGTCATTTCTGATTGTTCTTCCTGTATCCAAAGACAACAATAACAGCAGCACGCTGATAATGAATAGTTCGGGGCAGATAGCGATCGCCTTTGTTTGCGCTTTGATGCTGGTAACGTTACTGAGCTCGCTCCAAAAGTAAGCTCGCCATGTTTACTTCCGGTATACTGCACGCAGATTTTTGTATGCGCTGAGAAGTTTCTCTACTCAAAAGACCAAGATTCCTTGATGTGCAGAACACAAATCACTATGGGGATATGCCGACGTGTTTACATGACCAAAAATTCGGGTTAGAAAAGGGGTACCCCAGGTATAATATCCCGGTTTTTAAAATCCGGGATATGAGCATATTCAGGTTTTTGCCGGTGTTTACATAGCCGTTTGCCACCGGGTTATTGCTAATATCCCAGTTTTGAACGGGTTATTAGCTGCATGTAAACTTAGTCAGTGTGTTGCAGTGTGTGAGCGCACCTGAGGGTCTCCAAAGTAGATTTGCATGATGAGGGCCACGGTGACCCCGGTGGCGAAGGTCAGGCAGGCAGTGATGATGACGGTCAGGCCGTCCCGTGTGCACGCGCACTCCTGCGCCAGCGGGTCTCTGGTGGTCTCTCTCAGGGGAGAGATGTCGTGCCGGGCCAGGTCCGAGGCGGAGGAGGGCAGCCGCTGCAGCCGGGCCGAGTTCAGGAACAGATCCGGCTCTGAGAGACAAGGCACCCTCATTCATACAGCGCTTTTAAAGGGATACTCCACTTTTTTTTTGGAAATAGGCTCATTTTACCACACCACCAGAGTTAAAAAGTTGAGTTTTACCATTTTTGAATGTATTCAGCTGATTTTTTGATATTTAGAAGAATATCAGTAACCAGACAGTTTCTGGTCTCATTGACTTCCATAGTATATTTTTTTCCTACTATGGAAGTCAATGAGACCAGAAACTGTCTGGTTACTGATATTCTTCTAAATAGCAGAAAATGGGCTGAATGGATTTGAAAACGGTAAAACCCAACTGTTTTACTCTGAGGGAGTGGTAAAATGAGCATATCGTATCCCTTTAACATGTATATTTGTTTCAAAGCAGCTTTACAATGAGAACAGGAGATTACAGTAACAGATTATTTAGGCTTTACAGCAGCTCTAGAATAAAGTTATTGTCCAGCTAAAGTTAGTTTTGATTGATTCACTTCTGTCGCAATGATCATCTTAACTTAAGGCCCGCTAATGCCTTGTCCAGATTACACGACATTTTTTACTGTTACGATAGTCACTGTGTCAGATTACGCTATTTTGACTCCTAAAATCTTGTCTTGATGTGGACAAGACACACGTCAGACTACACGTTGCTTCCTGACCAGTCATCGCATGCCGTCTTTAATGGCGCGCGTGATGTCATCGAGAAGGCAAAACTAGTAGCGAGTGACTTCCGGAAACGAACGTAAACAAACAGAAAAACGTAAAAAAAAAGAGAGAAAACCTGACAGTGGACACGTTCCTGGATTGCTCGAAGAGGACAGTATGGGCAGTCAATTCTCCAAAGAGAACTTGAGGTAAAATATTGTTTCTTATATATTTTTATTTTTATTTTTAACGTTAGCACCATCGTCTATCTTTCGTTTCGCCATTTTTGAAAGGTGTGTACTGAAAAGCTTCTGTGCTCCTATTGGTCAACCCGATACATGTGACCAAACCGTCGTGGACGACGCAGACGCAACGTAGGTTATCGCCCACTATGACACGTTTTACGAATCCCTACAATACCCTATGTCAAACGGATTGTGCCAAAATCGGGCTAAAATCATTTAATCTGAACAGGCATAACACGACCCTTAAAGGGTTAGTTCACCCAAAAATGAAAATTAAGTCATTAATTACTCACCCCCATGCTGTACCAACCCCGTAAGACCTTCGTTCATCTTCGGAACACAAATGAAGATATTTTTTATTAAATTTGAGAGCTGTATAACTACCACATTGGCTCCTAAGGGACTGGCTCTTGACAGCCCAGAAAGTCAATGAAGAAAATGTTTAAATATCCCAAGTGACTACCGTGGCTCAACTATATGTTTATCAAGCGACGCGAATACTTTTTGTGCGAAAAAACAAACAAAAATAACGAGTTTATTCGACTATTTCTTTTCTTCCTTGTAGGCCAGAACGAGACTTCCTTATAGATTTCCACGACGCATGCGCGAGATTTGCGATCTACTCACACCAGCTTACACTACTTCAGATCGCAATTCTCGCGCATGCGTCGTGGAAATCTATAAGGAAGTCTCGTTCTGGCCTACAAGGAAGAAAAGAAATAGTCGAATAAACTCGTTATTTTTGTTTGTTTTTTCGCACAAAAAGTATTCGCGTCGCTTGATAAACATATAGTTGAGCCACGGTAGTCACTTGGGATATTTAAACATTTTCTTCATTGACTTTCTGGGCCGTCAAGAGCCAGTCCCTTAGGAGCCAATGTGGTAGTTATACAGCTCTCAAATTTAATCAAAAATATCTTCATTTGTGTTCCGAAGGCGAACGAAGGTCTTACGGGGTTGGTACAGCATGGGGGTGAGTAATTAATGACTTAATTTTCATTTTTGGGTGAACTAACCCTTTAATGCGATTGGGCCTCTGCATGATACCGGTGCCACCAGCTCAAGGACGCAAACCTCGGAAAATGTTCCAGGTGCAAGCGTCGACATTTTAAAAAACTGTTATCATCTTTCCGAAAACTACAAAAACGCAAATCTGTGAAACCGCTGACGGCGTGCACATGCGTATTAGTCTATAGGTATGCGTGTTTGAATATAGACTCTAAAAAATGCTGGGTTATTTCAACCCAAATTTGGGTCAAATATGGACAAACCCAAATGCTGGGTTAAAAATGGAATTAAAAAATTTACAGCTGAAAATGAAAGTTGAAGTTGGGTTAAAATTTTTAATTACATTTTTAACCCAATATTTGGGTTTGCCCATATTTGACACACATTTGGGTTGAAACGAAAAGACTATCGTCTTTCTTCACGAACAGTCCTTTTTTTTATTCACTTCCACATGTCCATGCGAACTGGAATTACTTTGACAGTGTTTGCTCTGTACAGGAGGCCTTCACAGGGAGAGACGGCATCAGACGCGTTCGCTCACCTGTGTCCTGCTCACTGAGGAAGTTCTCGTCATCTTTGCGTGATTTGAAGGCGCTGTCGGCGGAGGCATCATCTTCCGGGAGTCTGGGGAAGCTGGTGATGCTCATGTAGTCCACAGGGGAGTACGCACTGGTCAGAGCCGCGTCCTTCTCCACCACGGTCACTCCCGTCTCGGCTGCCGGAGCGTACATGCTTCTCCTGAAACCACAGACCATCAGCCGGATGGAGGACCATCACTCTCGTACGCCAAAACCCACAACGATTCAGCATTTGAGCACTTACGATTCCATGGTCCTGAATTATTTTGAATCGGTTTTTTTTTGGTTCAAATCTAGAATAAGGTCTGTGGTGAACTCAAGCTCAAGATATTTTTACAATATCAAATACATCAGTAATGCCATCCTGTGGTTTATTAATGCGTTTTCTTTCTGTAGAGCAGCTTTATGGCTGAATTGAATTTGTTTCATAATTGATGAACATTAACCCTGTTATTAAAGGAGTCATGAACTGTTTTTTTTTATTTATTATATTGTTGTCTGAGGTCAATTTATGACGTTCACTTTAAACATTAAAATGAATAAGTAATAGGCTATTTTCTACCCTAGTTTTGAGCCTTGTTTTATCCTCTTTGACGTCATAGTTCCCCACTTTGAAAAACGAGTCGTTTGCTGAGGCTGGTGTCAATAAAAGCTTTAAAATTTTATTGGACTAACAAGGACGTTTTCAGTTCTGAAACTTACTGGATATTCTTATATTATGATGACCTCTTAGAAGGAAAATTTGATTTCTCAGTTCATCACCCCTTTAAACTGAACTAAATAATGATGTTATTGTTTCCTCTTTTAAAATAGCCGCTTTACAGTTGAAATTATTTCAGAATCAATGGATTAGTTCACCCAAAAATTAAAATTATACCATAAAACTCGCCTTCAAAAGAGCCTTGCTAGGTGTACATGCATTGTTCTTTCAGCCAAACACAATCAGAGTTAAATTACAGTTTTTCTCAGTCACTTTGGTAGATTTGTCGAATCATCCTCGACATTTGCAAAACAGTAAATGCATTTCTCAAAACAATTCGTTCAAATAGCAAAACACCATGGGTTCCCTGCAAAAGCCGGTCTCTTGCTCAACATCCTCAGATCTTTCAGTGAACATGGCAGTGCATCAGAATTAAAAGTGCTTGTGTCGTTGTGTACGGATCAAATCGCTTAGTCGTGTCGTCAAAATAACAGTGTACTCTGGAGATGATGGATAAAGTTTTGATGACAATTATTGTAAATTAATAAAACACCTTAGTGTGTGGGGGAGTTTGATTGCAAGAGACTGGACAAGATTCACATTTACCCTTTTACTGTTTGCACTTTAATTTGTTGACAGACCATGTCATTGCGAAAGCCCACAGAAAAAAAAAAAAAAAAAAAAACGAAATGTGAACTAGACAGATTTAGAAAAACATTCTAATGGAAATGTATGCTTGACATATTATTACAACTTGTTCAAATATTTTGCATGTAAAAACTCGAATGTGTAAATGTTGTGGGGGGAGAGACTATTCAGCAGAGACCCGTTATAATACATTTTGATCAACATGACATAAGCAATTGATAATGTAGGAATTGTACATTATCCTTTCCATAGATGTACCAAAGCATTTGCAACTTGAAAAACTGAATGAAAAACTGTTTTTGATGTTTACAAGTGACACAATGATTTGAAGATTGAACAATTAGTTTTGAGAATTTCAAATCTCATTCGAGAAGTGTACCAAAGTGAGTGACTGAGAAAAACTAGAGAGTTACTCAAGCTTTTCAATGGAGACTGAGTTTTGAAGCCCAAACGAGCGCATCCGTCCACATTACAGCGCTCCACACGACTCCAGGGGTTAATACAGGCCTTCTGGAGCGAAGCCATGCGTTTATGTAATATAACTCAGGCTGTGTACGGCTGAAAGAAGAAAGTCATATACAGGATGGGTTGAAGGTGAATAAATTATGGGATAATTGTCACTTTTGGGTGAACTGAAACTTTAGCATTACTTACATGTTTATTAGAACTACACAAATATGTTAAAAAATTAAATAAAATAAATAATAAAAGCTCTGGAGATTCTTTGGGCCTCATGTCGAGTTGTTAGCTACTTTGATTTGCCTTAGTTTGCATGCTTATCCATAATTGTACACATCCTTTTATAAATACCAGGTATGCATTTTATGTGATAATATTTACGGATAGACTACTTTAAAGAAAAAATCATTAAATGTCCCACAACAGGAATATTTTAAATAAACTAAGCTAATAAAAAAGTAAAAATAAAAAAGAAGACCAGTTATTTTCACTATATACATGTTGATTTAAATATATATATATATAAGTTTCTTTATAGATTTTGTAAACCGTCCCTTTAATTATAACTATAATGACCAATTGCATTCACAGTGATTTAGCACAAACCTCTAATGGGTCATACTTACTATTTGGTGCCATTTCAGCTTGGTAACTTCCTATAAAACATTTTTTTAAACAATTTTCCCAATTTAATAATTGTATCTGAAAAAGGGATTGTTACACTACAAGAAAAATATAACAGAATAGCTCAGGATATTATTGACCAAAATATATGTATATATTTATAGATATACAGTATTTGACCAAATTCTGTAAGAGGACACTCAATTAATCTCAAATAAAGTGTTTTGAATGCACAGTTGTTGTAACATTTATATTTTCCAAGAGCTGAAATGTCCCCACTTCACCTTGCAAGTGTATTTAACAAGGTGTTCAGAAACAAGCATTATCTTGAAAAACTCAACTAATTCAATTCTTCAATATATCACAGCCTCAAAGGCCTCCATATGTCGAAGGATGATGATGCTCGTTTAGCTAATATCTACACAGCATCGCCTCCCTATTTGCGATATCCAGAAAGAAACAATTTGTCATGGATGTTGTCTGTGGGCTATAATAAAACACCACGTCATAGATATATCAGAGATGCGCTATTAAGAGCCTGCGCTTCCTGAACCAATCAGTTCCCCGTCACGGTATCACTGCTGTGTTACAGATCACATCCTAATAGATCACAGAACAACCAGTGTCGTGTGAAATACATACATATATAGGCCCTATATAATACAGCGTTCAGGTTCATCCGTCACACACACACAAAACCACAACAAACCGGAGCGCGCGCGTTCAACGCGACATCGACTAATTTCCATCCTTCTGTTATTATTTCCCATCCGTGACACGGAGGTCAGAGCTGTGTCTTGTAAACATACAGCTGATTCATTCACACACTCGCTGTGTTTTCACACGGATACGGAGCAGAAACACTGAAGGATCAGCTGACATGTTAACGCGATGTTAAAGTCGCAGGTGTGCGCGTTTCAAGACGAGCAACGGAATAAACACAACACAAAGGTCTTGGCATGTTTAAAACGTCTGACGCAGCCTATATTAGCAATTATTAACAGCTATAATGTTTTAAATGCAGCCTTTCCATCATACTTACAGGTTAAACGTGCGGTTCAGCTCCTTTCTCACATATTAGTACTGGCGAACAAGTGCAGTCATTTCTTTAGATCAAGCACACAGACACTGCGCATGCGTCACACCTCGTGAAGAGACGCGGATCCTGCAGAACAGGTTCATCAATCAAAGGTGTGTGTGTGTGTGTGACTAAATGCATGTCAAACACACTGAGGTTTTTCCGAATAATGGACAATGTGGGTGTAATAATTAGGTTTACACTGTAGCTAACCCTTATTTTTATGTGTAGCAGACAACGCAAACAAAAATAGGCTATACTAGCTACACTATACCTCAAGCCGTTTGACCTTTTATTCATTTCCAGGATATGTGTGCCCGACCCTGCTCCTGCCGATCGATTGTCCTGCACAGTTTATCTCAAACCCTAATCAAACACACCTGAAGCAACCAAATAAGGTCTTCAGGATCACCTTAAAATTAAAGGCAGGTGTGTTTGATTAAAGTTGAAGATGAACTGTGCAGGACAGTCGATCGGCAGGAGCAGGGTTGAAAATGTAATTGTCGATATCAACAAATGAATTAGATTTTTCCTTGTAACAATGCATTTTTTTGATATCAGGAATAAGATTTCCTCTAGTATGCTAATTATTGATACCAACATTTACATTTTCACTAGTTAAAATGATAATTCTTGATATCAACAATTGAATTTGAACTAGTAAAAATTATAATTGTTGATATCTGTAATTGTATTTTCACTAGTGAAATCTCACCATAGGCTGCCATTCAAAATCAATTGTTGATCTCAAGAATTTATTTTTTACTAGTACAAATATCATTTTTGAGATCAACATTGTTACTATGTGAAATCCTGATATCAATAATTAAATTGTCACTAGTTAAAAAGTCTATTCTTGATATCAACAATTCAATAAAATGTATTTCACAATGTATTTCACATTCATGATATCAGAAATTAACATTGTCACTAGTGAAAATTTAATTATTGATATCAAAAATGAACATTGTTACTATAGCAATTCAATTGTTGATAGACATTTTAAGTAGTAACAATTGAATTCTTGATATCAAAAATAAAGGTTTTTACTAGTAATAATTGTATTTCTGATATGTGAAATTGGTATTTCACTTCTTGATATCAACAATTGGTTTTGAATGGCAACCAATGGTGACATTTCACTAGTGAAAATACAATTGTTAATATCAAGAATGACATTTTTTATATCAAGAATTACATTTTTGATATCAAAAATGTATTTGTTGATATCAAAAAATGTAATTGTTGATATCAAAAAATGGCATTGTTGATATCAATAATTCATATCCTGGAAATGAATAAAAGCTAAAACGGCTTGCCATATGCCTATTGCCATTCCCAGAATATAAATTGTTAATATCAAGAATTATAGTTCTTACTAGTTGAAATTCAACTGTTAGTATCAAGAATTATAGTTTTTAGTTCAAATTGAATTGTTGATATCAAGAATGAAAATTTTTACTAGTTGAAATGTAATTCCTGATAGCAAAAATTGCTATTGTTACTAGAAGAAATCTAATTCCTGATATCAATAACTATTATTTTAACTAGTGAAAATGTGATTGTTGATATCAAGATATGATTAAAAGTTAAAACGCCTTGCCATACTATACCATGGTAGTATTGTGGTATTCTTTGAAATGTCTCTAACGTTTTTGTGAGATTTATAACAGTTGTCATTAGCTATATTTTCAAGTCAAGTGAGTGAAGATGAAGAAATAAGCACACAGGTGAATAATGAGTCCAGATTGCAGTTGCATCCTGAGTGTTTATTGTTATTGTCTGGTACCTGCATTTCTGAATGGATGCTGGAAACCCATCATAGTATTTTGCATAGGTCTCTGATGCCCATGACGTATGGATGAAACAGTCGGCACATCATGAAAACCATGCAGAATAGTGAAAGGCACAATCACCATAGATATCATAGACACCAATCTTTATAATACTCTATTTTGTACTTTGTTACTAAGGTGAACATCTCTTCTAAATAACAATATGAGGAAAAATACAAGCATATTTATTTTTGTCTTTTTTTTTTCTCATTTCATGTTTTCAGTCAATCCTCCCTTAAATCACAATAACTATATTTGCTTCCACCAGCCTCTCATGAGGCCAAACGGACATCATTCTAAAGTCCCACAGACTAAATTAATCATATTGAACACACCCACACGCACACACACACACACAGAGAGAGAGAGAGAGAGAAATAACACAGAGTTTACAGTGCCCGGCTGTGACGGTGAACAACAGAGGTGGATCTCTTCAGAGGGCAGAGATCACTGATTTTACGTTCATTACGTGATATTGCCTTGTCCACTTGATCTAATACATAGAAACAATGCGAAGAGAAGACGACCTTCGAGTGGACGATGTTAAGGACCCTTATAAGGCTACAGGGCATTGGATTTTTCTAGATGCACCACTGACATTCGTACTGCTCTCTCTGTAGAGTCAATATGATGAAAAATCAGTCAATTTCAAATGAAAACAAAGAAATTAAAGCATTTACATTATACTTACATTATTTTGTTAAGAGATAGCTAACTACAATAATAGATTTACAGATTTTGGCAGGCGATTGGAAAGACTACAAGAAGAATTCCTAAAATGATTAAACATTAAATAACAGGAGAAATAAAGAAAATTGCATGTGAAATCAAACAATGCAACAACAGTGGAATCGACAACATGGCAAATGTTGGTTCGTTTCGTAAATCACGCAGCAGACGGAAGCGTACTCAAGTTTTTGGAGCGACATATGATTAAACGATACCATGAAAACAGGAAGGTGATGTTTCCAAACGCAAACACTGAACTGTAAATAGATTGCGACTATATACATTTGAATGCAACTAATTGTTTACCTCTTAAGGTAGCTTTGTACCCCAACTCATGCATGTTGGAATGGCATCTCATTCACCAACGCAAACGAAAACATACTGCTAAATACCATGATTCTCCATAAAACGTATGACAGTGCAAACGTAGTCTCAAAAAATGTACAAACATATAATTATATACTTTCAGCACCATTGTTAGTCTATTCATTACTGAATACACACATAAGATAGATCACAATGTGGTGGACGCATTTGCTGTAAATGTGCTGAGGGCATTTGCTGACTATCGAGGAATAGCACATTTTAGGATAGTTCGTGTGATTGCATGTGCGCCGAGTCCGTCACAAGAGAGACAGGCAAACATCAGAGGGCACTGAAGATGTAAATCACAATCATATGATCAATTTAAGAGGCATGATGAAATGCAAATAATGACATCCTCTGAAAACGGATGAATTGAGTAACAGAGAAATGGTCATAAGATCTCGTTCTTTGTTTCTGTGGTCACAGTGATTTCTCACACAAGTGCGGGACAGGGGAACTTTCAAGCTGTTTTTTTTTGCTACACTAAAAATTAAGTATTTAATTACTTTTTCGTTGTTTTCCTTTTCATTTTGAGGTCATTTTAAGATTCTTGACATTTTTTTCTAAGAGTCACCCATCCTCCACAAATTCACAATCTATACTCTCCTGCACATTATAAACAATTATATCTATAGCCTATGGCAACCTCTCCTCAGTTCTATATGTTGATCATGTGACCTGTAAAGACATTGCACACTGCCCCGATACTACCCCACGATCTTTTCCTATTAGATGTTGACAGGGAGCTATAATTCAGCTTCACATCACATTTTAGGAAAATGACAAACGGCTATATCCCTAAAAAAGATCACTGAAAAATATTTAATCTAGTGTTGTTGGCATAGTATCAGTCCTGGGCCCACCCTCAGTTTAACTGCAGGCTCTGTTACAAAAGATTACTTAAGAAGCTGCCTCAAGAGACTCCATTTCAGTAAAGTTAGCATGTTGCTAAGCTAACCCAAGGCAACACTCTAATAAACACAAATGCATGGTACACAAACATATTGGGTGAAAATATATATTGGGGTATTCCTTACCATGCAGAGTATAGAATTGATGCTGCCTGCTTTCTCCACCAATTGTTTTCCCTGTAACTTACTTCTCTAGGAAGGGTTCTGCCTTTGCAGGAGCACACCTATGAAATTGGTGTCATATCAATGAAATTCAATTGTTTGAGAGTTGAGTTTTGAGAGTTAGCGCCATAATGTTAAAAATCAGGCAGCAACATCTACTTTGAAATGACCTCTTTGCAAAAATATTCCACTATATTTGTCTTGCTCTCTAAACTCTCAACTGCCTTTTTCTGTTTAATTCTTGTTCACACTTTTATCTACATTCTTGTTTTCATGTGACTCTTTCGTTGCAGTAGGACTTTACTAAATTACGTTACTAGGTACAATTCTCTTCTGGGAATCTTAAGCCCAAAGTATACTTTGGCTGTACGCGTTCCCTGATGGTGGACGGTGCGCGTACAACGGCACGTGTGTGAGTGATTTAAGCGCTTGAATACAAAAGTCCACAAGTTAGTGCGCACGCGCCAAACGCACTTTTCCATGCTCAGGACCAAAGAGTATACTTTAAAAGGCTCAGAGCGTAACCCCGAAAGTGAAGTTTACCCAGGGGCTTTAGGTTAAATGCGTTCATTGTTTGACTTTTTTTTTGTGCTAACTAAACAAATGTGAAAAATGAACCTCATTATATTTCAACAAACAGCGTTGATGTACCTGAAGTGTCAGTGTTATACATTTATGGCGCTTTTCCACTGCATAGTACGGTACGGTTCGGTTCGGTACGGCTCACTTGTGGTGCTTTTCCACTGCATGGTACGGTACAGTACGGTTCGCTTCAGGCCGCTTTAAATGGTACCTGGTCTGTTGAGGTTCCAAGCGTACCGTACCGGTACTAAAATGTGACGTGAAACACTGCAGATCACTGATTGGTCAGACAGAATCGTCACTACCAGCGTCATTGGATTTGCGACACGAGACACTTTTTTAGCAGTATTTTTGTTTTGCTGCCACCAGCCTCATTTTAAACACATTTTTCCGTCTAGCAGTTAAAAACAACCACATACCGAGAATCAGGAACACCATCCCCTCGATAGTCTCCATTGTTCCTGTGTTGTGGGTTTGAAAATGTGGCGCTTTTAAGATGATGTCATGGCAGTAGAGGCGCGCGCAAATAACGATCAGTCCCACACACTTTGAAGGGGTACTACTGCGGTGGAAACGCAAAGCGAGCCGAACTGTTCCGCGCCGAGTCGAAGCGTACTGGGCCGAACCGTACCGTACTATGCAGTGGAAAAGCGCCTTTAGAGGGATGTTGTACAGAGTTTACATGTCTCTCCTTATCTGCTATACTCCCAGATTGGGAAACGTTTTCCCTAACTTGGGAAAGGTGTTACAAGGACACACACAGGAGGTACATGGCATTTAAGCAAATATACAGATCATCTTAGACAGAGTAATTGTGCTTTGTGGTGGCCTGCCTGCCAGATACGAGTGAGAAGAGGATAAAGATAGACTGGCTTGTGCTCAAGGACAAACCAGATTAATATGAAACTTAATAACATTATGGACGTAAAACGAGTAAAAGCAATGGGAGGACTTTAGAGGGCATTTGAGAAGGAGGGGGATTCATTGGTAGGTATGGGTTTCTTGGGTGTCTATGTGTAATAATGCCCTCAATGTAAACTTTGATGCCTCAGTGGCAGATGTTGCGCTGGCACGGTTGGTGCAGGAAGGAGTTGCGGGTGTGGGATGTGCGCCGTTGGACCTTTTCACGCACAAGGTTTTGGCGCTGTATGCGATTGCGTGCCAGGTGTCGACGCTCAGTGCGGGCTTTGGCCCTCTGGACCCTGGAGACCTGGGTGACTTTAGCTAGGGCACCTGCCTGTGCGGCCGCTCCTCGGGTCACTCGTGTGGTCATGCTGCTCCTGGTCACAGCGGGCACTGCCGATTCAGACATCCTGCTGGAAGAATGGGAAACATTTGAGTAGGAATGGAAATAATGGTGTGAAACTGGAACGTGAAAAGTAGTAAAATGGAAGTCAGAATTAAAGGCAGTGGCTTTCCAGTTTTTGATATTCAGCATGATTTTTATTTGATGTAAGTCAGGGATGTCCAGACCTGCTCCTGTAGCTCCAACTCGCCCTCACACACTTTTGGCTTTAAGTTTATAGTGATCCTGAAGATCTTGATTAGCTGATTCAGGTGTTTTAAATTAGGACTGGAGCTTACGGCCCTGTTTACACGAGAACGCTCCTGGGTGAAAACGTAAAAAAAATTGTATCGGATGTGCCTTTTGTTTACATGACGACGGCGTTTTTGGGGTTTAAAAACGCAAAAAAGTGAAACCACCCTCCAGAGTGGAAATCTTAAAAACGCTCCACTGCGTTCCCGTGTAAACGGTAAAAACGCAAAAGTCTGCTTGACAGTGAAGGTTGTACGCAGGCGCGCGGACTTGGTGTTGTTGTGTGGCAGTGCTTCACGTTGCCACCTAGCCGCCAGTAGTGCACACTACATTGAATTTCACACTCTTTTTGCGTCACCATATACACACGGATTCTAACCCCTAACCACATAGGCAAGCAAGTTTTTATCAGTGTTGGAGCTCAACTCTGCAGGACAGTGGACCTCAACCATAGAACCCCTTTGTTGCTTTCAGTTAACAGAATTACTTAATGCTGGAAATGTGTTGCGTTTCGCCTGGTTACCTCTTGTTTTTATTTTCTCTGCATTTCTTGTTTTCTAATCTAGCTTTCTAATAAACCTGGAATTTATTTACTACAAACATTGTCGGCTCTGTGAGGAATTGCTATACCAGGGTATCCAAACCTACTTCTAAAAAAAGCTACCTACCTACAGACTTCAGATTCAAAACACCTGCCCTGTAATTTCCAGCTAACTCTAAACACCTTGATTAGCTGGTTCAGGTGTGTTTGACTGGAGTTGGAGCTGAACCCTGAAGCTGAGGCAGTTGATCTCTAAGGGTTAGAGACCTAACCCCTGGATAGTCGGATAAAAGAGTATGCTAAATCAGGGGTTTTTAAACCTGTCCTGGAGGCCCCCAAGCACATATGCATCATCTAACACACCTGATTAACTCAACAACTCATTAGTACAGACTGCAAGACCCGAATTAGGTGTCTGATAAGGGAGATATACAAAATGTGCAGTGCGGGGAGACAGGTTTTGAAAATCAATAATGCATTAATTTAAATGTTGCATGTGTAAAACTTCGCTAACTGTGGAAGTGAAATTTACCTAACACTGCCGGCCAGGCTGGTGGTGCTCTCTTCCATCGGAGGGAGGGGGCCAGCCGAGACGTACACAGACATGCTGGGGTGCTCGATGAGGAGGTCTTCCATGGGACTAGCCTCTGCCGTGGCTCCCTCTGCAGTAAAACAGGGGGGAGGGGTGACAAACCAGCTCTCATCCATGCTGCAGTCACTACAGGAGCTCGAGCCCCGCTCGCTTAACAACACATTCACTTCTAATGACTCAAGGTGAGACAAGGAGGCGGATCAGGAGGAGAGCAGATGGAAGGGAGGAAGGATGTGCTGCCTCTCTCCTGCCTGCTCTAGTAGTCCTGCGTTTTTTGCAGGTATGAGGAGAGGGGCCACATATCGGAAATGCATGACATTCACTGCGGGACAGGGGCGTGCTACTGATACTGCCTCTTGCCCATCCTCGCCTTAAATGAAGTAGGAAGAGATAGAAGACAGTACAGGGGTGTTTTTCCAGAATGTGAAAGGTTTGGTTGAAGCCATGCGAATGGGGGATGCCAGTACCATGAGCACACATACCAGTAAAAGGAATTCATTCAAATATGGAGAAATGAGAAGGGATACAGAAACAACAGAAAACATAGAGAATAGGAATACTGTCATTAGTTTCTTATAACCCTTTTAAAATATTGCTATTCTCTAATCCCCATGTACTACTTTATAAAATCTCAATGACTTTGTTTCTAAAGCCTAGCCTCAACACTGCCTCAACTTTTGGCGATACTTGGGGTTGACTATTGGGAATAATGGCAAATTGGCAAAGAAATTTCACACTTCACCTTACTTATGTTTTTGTGGGCATGACAAACCTAAGAGCTCAAGGGGGTGATACAGTTATCTTTGAATGACTGTTTATTATACCAGACTATTATTATTATCTGGGTAGTTATAGATATGTAGGGCTGTCGTGGTGAATGAATTTCTCTTGCAGTGTTTTGTGATATTATTCGCTTTCATGTACATATATTGTTCCCCAGTTAAAATCACGTTCCGGGGCGGAGGCGGGGGCAGGTTTGGTGGTGTGTCCCCTCGATTGAAAAATGCATTCCATGGTAGTGGTGGGGGAGAATTGTCACCACCTTTCTCGCCTCTAGTGACACCTACTTCTTTCAGCGAGATTCTAGAGTGGCACATTCTCTAAGCACTTTACTATCCTGGTGGAGGCAGATAGGATTGGTGAATGGCAATTAAACAACACAAAGGGGTTGCAAGGTTTTGCATTTGAACAGAAACCAGCCCAAATTGCTAATCAAAAATAGCCAAAAAGATAGCTCCAATACAGTTCTGGGGTTAAAAGCGAGTTCCTTGGGGTGAAGCGGGGAGGGGATCCCC